TGGCAAAAGCATCTCAACTTTCATGATAGGCTGGATTGTAATTCTGACACAATTTCAGCTCGATGCTGCACAGAGCACAGTGCTACCGTGTATGGTGCCAAGGGCAAAGAAGAAACATTGAGTAACACAAATTTCAGAATAAGTTTCCAGTGAGGAAGTTCCTGCAAGGCTACATGAGGAATCACACAGCTCCCACAGAGGATGGATGCTGTGATCATTTGGAAGAGAATGCTGGGTTGCATCAAAAGGAGTGCGACCAGCAGGTCGAAGGAGGTGATCCTGCCACTCTACTCTGCTCTCAGGAGACCTCACTTGGAGTATTGTGTGCAGTTCTGGTGTCCTCAACATAAAAAGGATATGGAACTGTTGGAACAAGTCCAGAGGGGGCCACGAGGATGATCAGGAGACTGGAGCACCTCCCATATGAAGATAGGCTAAGAAAGTTGGGGCTGTTCAGCCTGGAGAAGGCTGCATGGAGACCTCATAGCAGCCTTCCAGTATCTGAAGGGAGGCTATAGGGATGCTGAGGAGGGACTATTTGTTAGGGACTGTAGTGGTAGGACAAGGGGCAATGGGTTAAAACTTAGGGGAAGTTTAGATTGGATATAAGGAGGAAATTCTTTCCTGTTAGGGTGGTGAGGCACTGGAATAGGTTGCCCAAGGAAGCTGTGAATGCTCCATCCCTGGCTGTGTTCAAGGCCAGGTTGGACGAAGCCTTGGGTGACACAGTGTAGTGTGAGGTGTCCCTGCCCATGGCAGGGGGGGTGGAACTAGTTGATCTTAAGGTCCTTTCCAACCCTAACTATCCTATGATTTTATGTTTCAATGTTTCAGTGTCAAGCTCCTCAGATTCCCACTCCCTTAGGCATGGGGGAGAGAAAGGCAGTAGATGGGGGAGATCCTTGGGCAGCCTGAGCAGACACCCCCAGCTACATTGCATATACAGGCAGTTTTGTGCATGCCTGCCAGTTTGCTTTGCTCTGTCTTCAATTCAGTAACACCAGTGAAGTTTTGAAGAAAGGAAAAGCTGTAGTTATGATCATTGCTAATTATGAGTTGATTGGCTTGATGTTGCTCTTAGCCAGAACCACTGAAAGCATAACAGAAGACTGGATAAATAAATAATTAAAGATTGGGTTGTTAATTAATGCAATATTTTATGCAAAAAAAACCCACAAAACAAAACGACACTAAATCAATATTCAAAAACCTCTTTGCTCAACAGTGGGATCAAAGTGAGATAGTAGAAGTAACTACATCAACATAATGCCATTAGTAGCTTTATTTATTTCTAACTACTGTTATGATTACTAATTTAAATAGTATCTCACAAATTACATAGCACTGTCAAACTAGCACCATAAACCATGACAGATTTCACAATGTGAGTTAAGCAAGGAATCATGCAAGAATGGCTGGGAGTTCGGAACTAGCTGATCTTTAAGGTCCCTTCCAATCCAAGCCATTCTATATTCTTTGTTGTGTATCTGGCCCTTTTAAATATTCTGATTAAAAAACTGCAAGAATTTATTGTGGATGAAACAAAATAATGTTTTCCCTATTAAAAAATCTCTTTGGACAGCAGCTTCTGTGAGAAATTCAGCTTGAGGCAGCCACCAGCATAGCAAATTTCAGTGGAAGTGGTTAAAGCTTGCCAAAGTTAGAAGCTGCTGAAGGTAAGGTGCTATGCCAGGACTTGTCAGACAACCTTGATTATGGGTAATCTTAATCCTAAATAGCACCCCAGGTGCACAGAATATTTCTACACAACCCCTGATGTAGCATCAGCCTCTATGACAGCAAGCCAAGGGCTTGTTTAATCAATCTCTTGCACACTGGAAACTTAGAAAATCCAGAGTTCAATGTTCTCTGCCTTGAGGAAGGCCAAGTTGGTATAAAAAAGGTGTCCTCAGGGTGGTCTGGGCTGCAAGGAGGCAGGATAAGACCCAGGGAGGGCTCAGGTCTTTCCCTCAAGGGACCAACAGCAGCAGCCCGTGGGGAGAGGGGACCCTCCCAGCACTAACCCAGCATCTTTCTCCGTCACTCAGATTCTTCCTTCTCCTGCAGGCAGTGTTCTCAATAGTCAGTGCCATTCATGATGCTGTTTGCATCTATTTTTTTTTTAATTTGCTTTCAACCATGGCACAGTTTTAACACCACATTGCCTGACACGTACTTTTTGTTGCTCTTTGGATATGATATGCACTATCACACACTGAATAAAATCTAGATAGTGAAGCTGTGAGTAGCATGACCTCAACTTTGCTTTCCCACAAACACAATTTTGCTTGTATGTTTTTACTTATTTTTAAGACGGCAGGAGGTTAAATCTGCCTCAGATTGGCCCACCTGATATAAATTATATAAACCCTGTTTTCGACATGTGATGTATTTTGCTTTCCTCTTCTCAAATCTGGCTCAAAATACAAATGTAGTACAAATAAGTTTTGCAAAATCTAGGGCTGGTATAAATCTTTCCATTCAGGTTGCTTTTAATACTGTACTGAAAAACTTACTCTTTAGCATACCAATGCTTCTCTGCAGCCCCTGCAACGTGAGCATTGCAGTACACTGCTACTACATGAAAGTCTGGAGATAAAACAGACTAAAAATGGGCTGCAACAGCTCCCATTATTCCACCCAAAAGAAATGCTCTCCACTATCACCAGATTCCTGCCACGGGGTTATTTATTTAGCTTTTTTGCTCCAGGTGTGTATCTAAGAAGTAACCCATTTCTTTCCTGTATTCACATTTCCAGTGAAATGTAAGCCTCCTTTTTAACCACTTTGTCATTTTTGTTCTACATGTTTTCAGTTCCCCAGTGCTTTAACTTCATCTATCCTGATGAGACCTGGGATCACAATACAGCTCCTGCTCTTTCCTGAGAGCAGTTTCAACTCCATGTGTCAAAGAATGTGTTTACTAAACACACTGGTTTTAACCTTAAAAGACTGAGGAAATCATGAAAACTGAAGCATTACTTTCAGCCTCCTGGACCCAACCATACAGCATAAATTCACATAATGCTATAAATTAAAAATGAGCGAGGCACACAAAGGGATGTGAGACAGAGTATATCATAAAACCATTTTAGTACTAATTTTCAGTTATGTGTCTTGCTTTGGCATGGTAATAAATCACAGAAAGCCACTCAGATTGCCCCAGTCTTGGCAAAATAATTGCCTGAGAATAGGTTTCCACAGTCTCAGGTCCAAAGCGTGATGAACAGTAAATTGAACTGCATTTACTCATTTGAGGAAAAAGACTGTTTCCCTAGTTGCCTTCAGAGCCACCTTTGGAATTAAAATCCAAAGATTTGGAGAAGTCAGTGGCTGTGAAAACACCTCCACACAGCTCTGAATGACAAGTCATGCAGAAGCTCGATTACTTTTTGAAAGAAGCAGAGCTATTGGTCACTGGGGTGCTTGCTGTGCTTCCACCACATCTGGGCCATACACTGCTGGCCCAATGGAATCCTTGCCAATGAGATGCCATTAAACTAAGTCTAAAAGAGAAAAGAAAAAAAAAAACACAACAAAACAAAAAAAATCCAAACCCACCCCATCCACATAAAAGGAGGCTCATGTTTTTTCCTATCAAACAAAATTTTACTTAAAAACACTGGGGAGCTTTATCAAAACGTTTCCTTCATTCAAAGGACAGATGTGTATGAAGGGTCTCCCCTGATACCCAGGACTCATGCAGAACAGGGGTCCTGAGAGGCTCTCTTCAGCTTCTCCATTAAATCCATGCCCTTTTTGCTAGTAGTGGTGAAGCTGATAATAATGCCCATTTTCCTAATCAATGGCAGGATTCAGGGAGCTGCCAGGCTGCCAGCAACTCCAAAAGCAAAACCTCGTTTAGATCTGATTGTAGATGGAGCCAAGTCACTGTACAAGAATAAAATCCCAACCACAATGTGGGATCTTTCCTTTTCAGACAACTCTCCTCTTCATATTCTGAATGTATTGTTTGTTGTTTTTGGTTTTTTTTCTCATAATTCCTTTTCAAGTAGCTGATGAGAGGGATTTTGAGCTAAAATAGGGCTATTGTTTTGACGTGCTTCCAGGAGACTGGGGCTGCTTGCACTGACACCTCTTGTAGCTGGTGCAGAGGAATGGGTGGTTCCTGACCCGCCACAGACCTTGGGGGAGATGGTTCACTTAACAGGGATGCTTATTTTCCCTCCAGAGATCTAAAAAGTTCCTGGACAACCAGCCTAGAGGGATGGGGAACCTATGTCTGATGTGACTCCAGCAAACAAAGGACCTCAGCTTGGACACAACCTCTGATGCAGGCTCAGGGTTTTTGTTGCAGGATCAGGCAGCTGAGTCTTTCAGCCCAAGTAACTGATTTCCAACAGCTGAAGAATCAAATTGTGTGACTAAACACCCAGTTTAACATTCAGAGACAAGATACTAAAGATAACAGACATACAAAGTTTGTCCCAATCCAGTGCATTCACTACACAACATGGGTATACCATGGCAGGGGCTGCACATCCTCCTGAGTCTGTGATCTTGTGTACAAACTTCACAAAGCTCTTTGCTGCTTGAGAAAAGGAACAAATTTCAACAGCAAGCTGTACTTGGGCTGCTTGAAGTTGCCTGAGACTGCTCTGCGCACCCCAGTCTGTCAGCTCACTGAGTGTACCAAATGAGAAGAAATTCAAGCCTGATTGCAAACTTCAAATAGATTTTCTTCCTGATGACTCTCTCAGGCCTTTCTCAAAAGCATACTGACAAATGCCTGCAGAGAAGGGATTTTTTACATTTTGCATGTAAAAATATCCTCATATCAATGAAATAAGCTATATCTCCTGTTTTGTTACCAACCTTCCTAGAATCAAAGCCAGATGCCTTAAACCATGATTCCACCTCATAGGATATATGTCTTTGTTAATTTGTTATTGAAGCAGAAGCAGCATCACCCAACAGCACATGTGCCTGCAGCATGCTCAGCCCATCATCTTGGTGCACCGTGGCACAGCCAAGCCTACCTGTCACGAGGAAGCTGCATCTGCCAGCACCCGCTTCATTGATGATGTTGCAGTTGTAGATGCCGTAGCTGTCACGGGAGAGGCTGCTGACAGTGTACTCGGTGGAGTCCTGCATGTCGAATTGGCCAGTGCGCAGCAGCTTGCTGCCCAGGCGCCACTCATAGGTGAGGACCCGGGTGGGATATGCCCTCAGAACCCGGCAGCTCATGGTGATGCTCCGGCCTTGGCCTTGCCGAATCTCCAGGAAGGTAGGCTCCACGGCGGGAGGGTCTGCAGGAAACAGGAAGGGAGGGAAGGAGATTTGTAAGTGAATTAGCATAGGAGGCAGAGTTAACCAGCCGCTGCTGAAAGGCTAGAGCACCACGGCATAACCTGGCATCCATGACAGGAGAAGTCAGTGATGCTAAGTACACAACCTCGATACATACTAATCAGCTAGTAACAGAAATGTACACATCCAAGGCACTGAATTCAGTTTACTGACTTTTTCTGCTGAGTACTTTAATACATGATGCTGCTTCAGCAACGTTATCAATAAAAAGTGAGAGGTTCCACACCTGTGCAGCCCAGGAGGCTCAGGCCCTCCAGGTCTCACAGGGGAACAATGGACTCTGACACATGGGGCTTTCAGGAGGAGGAAGGGGGAGAAAAAGAGGCTTTACTCTGTTTAGATAAAGAGCACAATGCAACAGTGAACCTGGCACAGAGCTGAGGCAGTGATTCTGTGTTCGGTTGGGCATCTAACTTTGCAGTGGTAGAAGATGAATCGATTAAACAACATACACGCCTACTTACCCCATCCCGGCAGCTGCCTTCAGGTTTCAAAAAACAGATAATCATATGTTAATCTTTTCTATCCACTCAGGTGGTAGTTTTCATATACCAGTAAGCACAGAATGGACCATTTTATCATAACTTGAATTAAACTGCATTTTAAATAATTTAGATTTGAAGCTACAAATTCTGACTGACTTTTGATTCAATTTTTTTGATTCTATTATTTTGTATTTTGAGTAAAACACAAAATAAATATAGCCAACATACAGAAACCTAACTTTACCCTCCTATTTGCCTTCTGATAACTTCATCATTGCAGAACAGTATGGGCAACTTGGACAGAATAATGTTGGTACTCAGCTCTTGTCAACACAGCTATTTAGACCAGGTAATGCACATGAAAAACATGCATATGTTTGCAATTGGATGCAAAGCAGTGAGTGACAAGACATTCTGGCTCTTTAAAAAACACAGCTCATTTTTTAGCCCATGAGAAACAAATTCTGAAAGCCTCCTGTGCCAGTAAAATACATAAAATCTTTGCATCTGTATTAAAAGAGCTGTCTTGCAGACACAGAGCATGAAAATATAAAATCCCTGACAAGCTCTGCAACAGAACAATCTTCACAGAGTCCACACCATGCTCCTTTCAGAAGGAACCCTCTTTTACCATTATCTCCCCAAGAGCATGCTGTCCTCAGGTTCTTCATTGGTTGGTATCTCCATCACAGATACCAACAATCAGACTTTGGTATTTAATTCCCTGCATAACAGAAGTTGTAATCAGATTCCCTCAGCTCCTGTAAACTGGGAACTGTATTTGCACATGCACAGCTGCTCAGCATCTCTGGCTTAGACAAGAATCCAGCCTAACACACCATACTTGAAATTAAGGTAAATTTTAGAGACTGTCATATTAAGACAACATTGCTTAGAACTCATGACATCCAGCTATCATATTTTAGCTCATTGCAGCTAAGTTTGGAATTACTGGAAGAGGACTACCACGATTTGGCAGCAAGGTGAGTAGAGAGGCAGAAGTAGTGAATAGCATCAGAGGTGGGATACAGGGCTTGAGGGTACAGGATGGTGAAATGACAGGTATTAACTCTGAGGACATTTGTCCCTTTCTGAGATTCCCCCCAAAAATGACTGATGAAGAAAAGATGACATGGAAACTACTGATGCAAAACCCCATCGATCCCAGCCTGACTTTTCCTCTTTGTAGATTAAATATCACATGACTTTGTATAATTGTGAAGCCAGCTTGTTAACTGGTACATGCATCGCAGCACATCCACACATAACCGCAAATAAGAGACTAGAAATCCCAAATCCTCAAAACTGCAATCCTTCTTTCCATTGACAATATCCCCCAATTTTGTGTCTTCAGAAAATTTCATCACAGGGGCACTATTTCTTTGTTCCCAGGTACAGAATAATAAAATATGAAAAGAAGATTTATTCGTAAGAAATTCCACTAGTCTCTCTCTCCAGCCTGATGTTTATCCTTTCAACGCAACCCAGTAGTGTCTTCATCTGCCCTCACTGTACAGTTTCTTGACCTTATTCTGCTTCGCTAATAGTTTCCCAAGGCAGTAGCTTTGCAGGGAATTGTTGGCTTAAAGACAAGAGTTATTCTTGGGAAAGAAAATGTGCCAGATCACAGCTTTCTTCTAAGGGAGGGCTATTCAGCTAGTCAAGCCTGATCTGCCCTTCACAGATTTTTGTCTTTTCCTCTAACCACCTTGTCTTACAATTGTACATACTTTCCAAATACCTTCTATATCATGATATATAATGGATGTAAAAAAAAACACTGATCAAATTTAGTAACATTTACTCTCATCCAGTCATTTCTCTGCCCTAAGCTCTACAGGTTTTCTTCCCATTTCAGACATGCTAATTCCATAACTATACACTCTTCAGCCTTATAGCCTTTACCCTCACAGCCAGCACCATAATATACATTTAAATCCAGGTAAAATTATCCCCAACCGTTAGCTGGACACAGATTAGCCAATGAAATAATACAACATAAGGACGTTCAAACAGCATCTGACTGAAAATCCTTCTAGCCCAGGATCCTCTACTTACTGATCCTGACGGAGAGGAGAGGACAAGAGCACAGAGGGCACTGGAGAACTTTGGGATAGAAAAGTTCTGAAAGCTATGTGTGTGGTGTGTTGAATACCCTTTAATCATGCTGCTTTCATTTCCTCCCGTTACTTTTAAGCCCATTCAATATTTGAATGCCCATACCTTGCCTCCTATTTATCAAAATGTCCTGTTGTTTTGTTTGTGTTGCCGTTTCCATTTGAGGCACCAGATTCAGTGAACAATATTTCTCTGTCCACCTCTCCATGGCAACTCTGCTTTAATGACTTTTAGCATATATTGGTATTCAGCCCCCTCTTTCATCTTCCCCTGGTTTATTTACTTGTAAGATACTTTAGCCTTACAAGTAGCTTTCAAATAAAAGTTTGCCCTGCCTTTAAGGTCAAAATAGCCTTTAAAATACAGAATTTCCATCTATCCATGAACACACGATACCCAGTGACAGAAAAAGAAAATTAACTTTGGTTGCCCATTTCAGAGTTACACTTTCGCAAGCAATAACTTTACTGGAAAAGGAAAGGGATGATAAAAACTACAATATATGTAAAGCTAACAGTTTCTTTTTCTTTTTTTTTTTGTTTGTTTTTTGCTTTTGTTTTCATAAGATAGCGACTTCACAACTAGCAAAGGTGCTATTGTCTCAGGCATCTTCTCAGAGTAATGACGCTCAGAATGAAACTTACTCTGGATGTTTGGAACTTACACATCTTTAACTCATTTGCATTAACACTTCCCCAAGGCTTTAGCAATATGATTTAATTTACTTTGCTGTACTTATTCCTATCTTTCATAATTCTAGTATTAGTTTTTAAAAAATACATGGAAAAGCCACAAAGGGAGTACAGTTCATTCTCTTAAACAATTATCTCTGGGCAGCAAACAGTCTGAAGTTAAAACAGGCTTTATATTAATGTTTAATGGATTTTTTAGCCTAAGTACATTCATATCTTAAGGATTATAAAATGAAAAATGAAGACTCCCTAGCTATCAAGAGAAAAGACAGCAAGGATGCTTGTTTGTTTTAAACCAGACAGATCATGGTGCAGATCTTATCATGGTCTTTATTGTAAGATATGCTAAGGAGAAAAAACATACCATTCAGTGAATTTATTTTGGCTGTTTGGCCTTGAGCAGAGACTTTACCTGCTGATTTGGTTTCTCCAGTTTGCATTGTAGCCTAAGCAAATTACTAGTTTCTTCCAGCTCTATCAACAGGAATAAATAGGAAAAGCTGATGCCACTTCTTCAGCTTCTATAGTGTTTGTGGCCACTTTTTATTTGATTCACCCAATAGGAATGTTATACTAACAACAGTCTGTGTCAGCTACAGAGAAGGAGTAAATACTTTTAGAGTTGAATTTGCAACACAGAAAGCCACACCAGTAAATGGTAAATCAGAACAGGTGAAACCACTGTATCAGGGGGTAGAGGGCCTAGGTGGGCAGGGGACCTTAGAGAGCTGCCTTGCAGATGAGCCTGTGATGGACTAGGTGATGCTGGAGGTAGGACTCACCCTCCCAGCCAGAAAATGGTGCTAAACCACTGTGTATGTAAAACGCCAGTGAAGCTCAGTTAAGCAAGTGCTGTTTCTGATATCTGACTGAAACATACTGTAAATTATTTTATTGCCCGAGGACTCTGCAGTGGAAAGCCAGTCATTCTAGCTTAAAAGGTACCCTTTCTTCTTTCTTTTTCTTTTTTAATTTTTTAAAGGTAGTGAGGGCATGTTTGCCTGTGAGGGAAAGTTACTTGCTAGGATTTGTATATTGCTGGTAATGAAGGCTTAGTCTAGGCAGTCAATTTTATTGTTTTAATTTTGTGTTTATGCCTGTGCCTCTGATATATCATGCCCAGGATCTGAAGAATCCTCTCAGGAAAATTGTGCTGCATTTCTTCAGCTTCCAGCTGAGGCAGCACTTCATCTCCCAGGAGGTATCAGTGAGTATTTTATAGATTAAAAGTAGATATTACATATTCTGTTGTTGGCAATGGGATCTGTGCTTTTATAACAAAAAAATCATTCACTAATATGTATGTGTAAGTATACCAGTACTAGATGCATGGAATTCTGCTGTCTGATATACGCTTGTATAGATCAACAGAGTCAATATAAAATATAGAATGACTATTCAAATACTGTAATGGGTTTTAGCTTCCTTCAATACCATTTGTTCTGAACCTTAAAATAAAGGAAGTCAGAGCACTTTTGTTTGATTTACAGCTTTGTAGAATTCCTTGGTGAAGCTGCTCAGAGAAGCCACAATCCTGGATTGCTTGTACAGGTAAGTCAGTAGACTTGCCAGTAAAGCTCTGGTTTTCCTCTTTAAGAAAAAATAAAATAATAATGTACCTTAGCAAAAGCTCTTAAAAAGAAA